ACAGGATAATTTTATTAAAAGAGTAGAAGTAATTTGATTTACTAATAGTTTGTCTTATTTTGTATCTATTAGGATGTAAAGACTGGTCATGCTTAAAAATAATCATATCTGCATATTTTGGAATAAAAAAACTCAAAATTATGTAAAACTCATTTGTACCATCCACAGCTATAACATTGGGATCCCTTTGTAATCACAGTAAATATTTCTCAGCACATTCACGTATGTATATGACAATATTGGTGGCACTAAATATGACACCTCTTTTTTTCAGATATCAGAGCTGCTGATCCACAAGCTCAACCAAAACTCAGTGCACTTTGAGTTGAAGCCTGGCGTCCAAGTCCTTGTCCACGCAGCTCACTTAACAGCAGGTCAGTTTCCATGTGCCTGGTTCCTGGCTCATGTTTCTGGCAAAGAGAGATCCAAATTTGTGTTTTCTTCTGCATAAGCAAGGCTAGATAGCGCCATTGCTAATTGGAAATCAGGCATCAGTCCTTTGAGGTCCCCTTGCTTGGCATCTGTCCTTTAATGAGAGCCCACTTAGGAAACAGAATAAGGTGAGTTTTCCCACTTCATCCTTGTTAAAAACCATCAGTGAATCACCTAAATACATATTGTTCATATGACCGAGTGATAGCTTGTTTCTTTTCTACAGAAATCTTGAAAATAAAGTTAACCTTATAAGTATGTTTTTCCAGGTCTTTCTATAAAGCCCTGTTTTCATATCATTCCTGTTACTAAGAATTGTTCCAGATAAAAGTACTACAGTGGAAATACCAAGGACTTAGGAGTTACTCAGGGCTGTAGCCAGGAACTGAACCTCAGGTTGCTCATAATCCTGCAGTTTCTTAATCTCACTGAGTTTCTGTTTCTTTGCCTATAAAAGATGGGTAAAACTCCTCCATCTAAGGTTATGGGGAGGTTTCAGTGATAATGCAGGGAATTCCAAACACATAAAAGTAGATATTATTGTGTCACATAAAAAATGAATTTAGCAGTAAATATTCATCAAGTACTTATTTTTGCAGCATATGGTGCTAGGTGCTGCATGGAGTACAAGATCAGTGAGAAATAGCCTTTGTCCTCAAAGAGTTTGTAATCTGGTTGCAATGTGGGAAAGTTTAGCAGTAGCACAGTTGTGATTGTGCTGTGTGTGTGTGGATGGGGGAATGGAATGAACAGTAGGGGAGAGTAAAATGCATAAATGCTTGTATAGAGAGGCAACATAGTATTTAAGCCCTTAGCTTTTGCTGCCAGACCATTAATTTCAACGTTGGCCCCATCACTTACTCATCCTGTAAACCTGGAGAAGAGATTTGACTTCTGTGTACCTCCGTTTCCTCATCTGGAAAATAGAAATGGCAATC